TGGCTTTGGTGGTTGGGGCATAAATTTGAATAGCACTCATATGAACGGGTCTTCCTTGTAGGTCTTCCTTCCAAAGTAGGATGTGAGGAAATGTTTTAGTGTAGTATGTTATTTCAATTGAGCTTGATGTCCCCTACCACCATGGTCCCGAGCCCATAGGTCCAACTACTTGCTCCCTCCTGGTAGCTGGCTGTGGCCAAGTGCTACAACCTTGTCCCTTGTCAGCTTTACTATACACCTGGTAATTCTTAAAGAATATGCCAATACACTTGTAGAAGCATTATCTTCCAACTCTATACATGGTCTTGGGTACAGTTCCCCCTGCATAGACATACCTAATTGTTCAGCCTGTCCACCCATCTATCCACCTGTAGATCAATGTTTACCTTCACTGACAACACAGTACTCTTTGTGCAAAAGGGTTCATCTTTGTTGTCTGTACCTCCCATGCACCTCTCTATGCTTTCCTAAAAAGAATATGTTCTAAAGTATTTGCAATGCAAGAAGATTCTTTGCCCAAGCACTAGGAGACTCTTGGTTCTTGTGTTTGATTTTTATGCTTATACTAGCTCCTTTGTTGTCAGTTCTCACTTCCCGAAGCTCTCTTCCACATCGAGTGTCAATTTTGCCTGAGCTGACATTTATGGAATGTACAAATGAGATCCTCCAGTGCAGATTCTATGGCTATTTTAAATTTGTGTCTTTGTTATTTGCACAATGAAATTCAAATAATGCAAACTTGGTAAATGTGTGTTGAGTCCATGAAGGGTGCCTGCCTGTATACTGTTGCTGTTAGTTGCTGATGAGTCAGCTCTGTGTCATCACCGTGATCATTGATGGATTTCAATCCAGCCAATATATTAGTCTCTGTTCCTTCACATTTGTTATTTCCGATATACTTCCTGCAAGAATTTGGGTGAATAGAAGGTAGCCAAGAAAAGAATGGATAGCAAGTGGACACATAAAAATTTGGATGAGAGGGGAGTTGCTAAGAGACTAGAAGAGAAGTGAGTATAGAGTAGAAGAAAGAATGAGGGGGAAAAGGGGAAACATGGATAGAAGAGAGAAGAAGATGGGGAGGGAAGGGGAGGTAATGTGGAGAAGAGGTCAATAATATTAAAATCATCTCTCTCTGTAGATAGCTAATGTGTACCAGGGAGAGTTGGCTGATTGGCTAGAGAAAAAAGAATGAGAGAGGAGGGAAAATAGTAGACAAGGTGAAAAG